CGTCCCCGTCCTCCCGGCAGCCAGCAGGCCTGGGTTTCTGTTCGGAGCTCCTAACACAGCGAGTGTCTCAACACCGCCTCCCATCCACCTACCCACTGCTCGTGGGTTAATTTTAGAAATCGCTCTGCCAGCCGCTCACTGTTAACACGTCCCGGGAGGAGGGGGCGCAGGCCCTGCAGGGAAATCCGACACCCGCGGGAGAACTTGGCCGCGCATTTCTTCCTGGAGGCAGTGCCTCAGGCTCCTCGAGCCGACCTCCCATTTCAGAGACAGACCCGGCTCCCCTTTTCCCTTTGGGGAGAAACTGATGACTGTTGGGCTCAGTCAGGGAGCGCGGCCTGCCCCTCACTAACCCGCTCATGTCCACCCGCAGTTTACTACTTTGACCGCGACGATGTGGCTTTGAAGAACTTTGCCAAATACTTTCTTCACCAATCGCACGAGGAGAGGGAGCACGCGGAGAAGCTGATGAAGCTGCAGAACCAGCGGGCGGCCGCATCTTCCTCCAGGACATCAAGGTGAGCAGCGCGGCCCAGGGAAGCCCCGTGCAGCTGATCTTCCGACCCATTTTTTAGTTTAAACATGTTTGTATTGATCTTAGAGGGGAAGGGAGAGGGTTGGAAGCTTAGAGGTTCCTTTCACCTAAAGGTTTGCCTGCCAAATTGTCATGGTGCGCTCAGTAAGACTGGGTGCCTTGCCCTAACTCTCTCCTTCAGAAACCAGACCGCGACGACTGGGAGAACGGGCTGAACGCAATGGAGTGTGCGCTGCACTTGGAAAAAAGTGTGAATCAGTCACTACTGGACTTGCACAAACTGGCCACTGACAAAAATGACCCTCATGTGAGTATTGGCCCCTGAGAGTGAATGGAGGAGGAGCCTTCCTGATGGCTGGGAGTTGACCGTGTTCTTCCCGTTCTGTGTTTGCAGTTGTGTGACTTCATTGAGACGCACTACCTGAATGAGCAGGTGAAGTCCATCAAAGAACTGGGCGACCACGTCACCAACCTGCGCAGGTTGGGGGCCCCTGAAGCGGGGATGGCCGAGTACCTCTTTGACAAGCACACCCTGGGGGACAGCGATGAGAGCTAAGCCTTGGCTGCTTCCCGTGGCCTCGGGGAGACTTCCTGGTCCCCCAAGCAGTACTGCATGTTGGAGCTACCTTTACCTTTTCTATAACTTGTACCAAATCATCCACTCATGTCTGTCATTTGTACCGTTCCTTCCAATAAAGTAATTTGGTACCCAGCTGTTGTCTGTGAGTTCCTGGGATCGGCTGCAGTATATCATACCTAGGCCACCTTTGCTAAATGCGTCGATGCCGGGTTCACACTAATTAAGATGAAACGCCTAACAGGACTTGTGTTTAGGAAAACCCTTAGTTTATTCATCCTCAGTTCATGAAAGATACCAAGGCTTGGGGTGTGGAATTCAGACAGGACTCTGGGACTCCTGATTCTGAATTACATGTTTCTAGTGGCTCATTCTAGCTTTCGTTTATGTACAAACGGCATTTAAAGGCTTAGGTAGTCTTGAAACTAATGATTATCGTTATCCACTGAGCTGACCATGTAGTTCAGGCTGTCGGGAGCATCCGTGTGGACAGCTGTCTGTGACTGGGTCAGTGTCCCATGGTGTGTACACGGGTGGGACCAGGCGGGTGCCGCTGCCCCTGGGGAGACGGACTAGGAATGTGCTTCATCCCTGTTGGAAATTTGAGAAAGTTCACATGAATATGGAAGGTACCTTCATTCCAATATGACGTTAGCTGCAGCGGGAGAGCAAAGGTTGAGGCATCTTAGATATTAAAAATGACTAGTGCCGGTTCTGCAGAGCCGTTATATCATTTCCCAAGTCGGCCACAGTGATCTTCAGGTTTCTGTCCAGCCCTGGAAGCAAGACAGATGGTGGCCCTTCTAAGATCTCACAGCTGTGTATTCTGACCACAGAAGGAACTTCTTGAGAATCTAGAAAATAGGAAGTTAAAACGTCCCTCCCACATGATGGGGGTGGGGCGAGACATGTATAACAGGGTGAGTCTAAGGATGGAATAAAGGGGACACGGGGGTTGTGACAGCTTGGATTGACCCCAGGAAGCAGGAAGAGCACATTTGAAGTGAAGTCTCGCTGAGGTGCCCAAAGCAGTGAGACGCCCCAAGGGACCCGCGTGCCCTCCGCCATCCAGAGGTGTGGCAGCCTTGGCCAGAGCTTCAGGCCAGTGGTGGTCTGGGGGGACCGCTCATATACCACCTCTCAATCTGGGCAGGGCGTTGGATTCTTGGGCTACCGCTAGAGCCCCCCGCTCTGCCCCATGGGATTTAGTGTCTCCCACGCTGTTGGAAGTGAGCTGGACCCAGGGATAACATCTCCCATGGAAGCCTGGCCTGGGAGCCCCTCCTGGCATTCCCGTCAGGGCAGCCGCTTCCTCACCGCGGTCGCAGGGCCTCCTTCCTGGTGACGCCAGGCTCTTGGGTGAAGTGAACAAAAGCCCCCAACACTTTCCTAGGGCCCCTGCCGGGGTGGCCAAGTGTGTGCCGCAAGCCAGTGCGGGGCCCAGGTCCAGCCCGCTCTGCAGTGATGGAGCCGTGAGGAAATCCTGGAGGAAGGGTGGGCTCGGAGCAAGGGGAGCTGGGGTGGGGCTGGTTGGGGTAGAGCACAGACCTGTTTTCCAAGGCCCAGTAGGGGTCGTGGTCTGTGAGTGTCGTGTGTATGCTGCTTGTCGATCGTGTATGTGGTTCTCGGAGATGACTCTCGGGGGCCGCTGACAGGTTAAACTCGACAGTTTTCCTCTTGCTGTGACACAATTCCGGGGGCTCCATCGAGGCCCCTGCACACTCTGGGAGCAGCTCCAAGCTCCTCCTGGCCCCTCGTGTCACAGGCTGCGGCCTCTGGTCTTTGACAGTGTTGTCGACACCGGGGAGACGGGGGTGCTGAGGGTCCTGGTGGGAACACCGTGGGGGTGGAGCTGAGCGGCGTCTGGGGGGCACTGTGGTAGCCCGACCTCCCATACAGCGCCTCGGACTTAAAGGCCTCCTCCCCCCTCATCTTCCAGGCCTCGCTGTCTTGCGGGTCCCCGGGGCGCTTCCTGGCACCCCTGAGGTGCTCGGGCTGGCCCTCAGGGAGGAAGCCTTCCTTCTGGGGCAGCAGTAACTTGGTCTTCGAGCTCGTCCTGCTGGGGTGGTGGTGGGACTGCAGCCCCAGGAGGCGGCCGAGGATACCAGTGTGCGCGCCCGCCTCCCCTGCCTCCCCCTGGCTGGGCTGGAACTCCGTCTCTTCCTTGTGCAGACTGGGAAGAAGCAGGAGACTGCGGGTTGAGTCGGGGGGACAAAGGGACCAAACCCGACCTGATTTCTCCCTCAGCCCCTCTTCTCCCTCCCCCTGGCCCCAGGTCAAGGACACAGTCTTCCTCACCATGCCGACTCGCCTCTCCTGATCCATCCTGTGCCTCCTGAGTCGTCCTCCCGGCCCAGCTCACCCAGCTGCTCTGTGGTCCCTTTTGCCCGTGTTAACACGCAGGCACCTCGCCTGGCATTTGTGGTTCCGCCTGGGGAGCAGCGTCGCCAAGGAGAGGAGTCGCCCTCGCCCTGTCCAAACCTCCCCAGGCTGCAGGCCCAGCTGCAGGCCCCTCCCCCCAGGGGGCACAGTGACCTCCTCTGTCCCTTCCCGGCATCCGGGACCTGCGCTGTGTATCCAGTGTCACTGAAGTGTGTGTCCCCGGGAGCCAGGCCTATGCATTACTTTCCGCTCCTCCCCCTCCATCTCCACCGCCTTCGGTGGCTGAGCCCAGATCGGGTCGAGCTCGAAGGCCACCTCCGGAAATGTTTCAATTGACCACCTTTCCAAGCCTTGTTCACGCCACTAGGAGACGCCAGCTAATTCTGGTTTCAGCCGAATAGGATCTTGTGTTCTTTAAAGAGCAGGAAGAGAGCAGCTTAACACTGTGGGAGGAAACCTTGATAGACACGCACCAGAGTCCTTTTCACGCCCATCCTCGAGAGAGAGCTGTCTGGGCGCCCCTCAGCCCACGGAGGCCCAGCGGCAGCTCCAAAGGGATTCTGACCACATCAGGGAAACGGCACCCACGTGGGCGGCCCGAGGCCTTTCCTCTGTAGCACAAAGTCTACCCAGAAGGTCCCTGTGAGGACCCAGCCTCCTGCTGGGGTGTGCCTGCCCCCGCCCCCGTTTCAGGGACACCCCACCCCACCACCACCGCTCCCAATGCTCCGGCTTATCAGAAAACAGTTCCGGACCAGCGTCAGGAGCCAGGCCCTGACACCCCAGCAGTATCACTGACCTCTGACTGCCCTCGAGTAAGTCCCTTCTCTCTCTGGGCCTCAGGGTCCCTCTCTGGACACAGGGGGCTTAGATGAGGTACCCAAGAGCCCTGAAGCAGGACAGGAAAGAGGGGAAGGTGGGAGGTGAACCAGATATACCCGGCCCACATGTGCCGCCTGCTAGCCGTGTGACGGGGGGCTCGGCAACTTAACCTCGCTGAACCTGGAATTAGCCACCTGAAAACTGGCGCTGACACAGCGAGGTTATGGGGAAGAAACAACAGTTACTGTATATGAAGGGCTTCGTGCAGTGCCTGGCACTTAGCGAGCACCCGCTGTGCGTTAACTAGGCGGTCTGTGCCCAGGCAGGCCCACGCACTTGGGTTTTCTCTCCTCCGAGGTGGTTCCCTGGCACTGCCCACCTGATATTGAAGGTGGAGCCAAAAAAGGAGGGTCGGCAGAAGCGGCCATGTAGGGGGGCTGTGGCTCCGGGTCGTTCCAGTACAGGCCCCGCTCCACTGGGGGCAGGTCCTGGTGCCTCTCGTTCACAGCCAACAGGGACACCTGGCCGTCGGGGACAGAAGCAGAAGTCCCACAGGAAGATCAGCCAAGCAAGACCATGAACTTGCCAGGTGACCGGGAGAGGCCACTTCCGTGTCTCTGGGCCTCAGTTTCCCTACTTGCGAAATGGAGAGACTGACACCACCTGAAGCCGCAAAAATTGGGGTGAGAATCCTAGGGGGGGAGAGGAGGCCATTCAGTGTCAGCCTCTCTACAGAATTTCAGGGTTTTGCCTTCCCCCAGTGGCCGCTGGGAGGCGCCCGTGACCAGAGGCTCTGGCTGGGCCTGGAAGCTGGGTCCGCTGCTTGGAATCTGTGTGGACCCTGGAGCTGGCACTGGGTCCTTCATCTCCTTGACCCTGACCAGCAGCTACGGAGCCATGAGAGGAGCTGGGAGACAATGGAGTCCTCCCTCCCTTTCTCCTGAACTGCGGTTCCTTCACAATATCCCCAAGTCCCACCAGGACCAGCCGGCTGAGCTGCCCCGGCTTCCTCCCCCGCCCTCCCAGATGCCCCAGGACGGCGGTTCTCAACCTGTGGGTCGTGATCCCTTTGGCGGTGGAACGACCCTTTCACAGGGGTCGCCTAAGACCATCCTGCATATCAGATATTTACATGACGATTCATCACAGTAGCAACAAAAATAATTTTATGGTTGGGTCACATGAGGAACTGTGTTTAAAGGGCCAGAAGGTTGAGAACCACTGCCCCAGGATATCCCCACAAACACCCGCGAGCGCCAGGTGCGCCTGGCACCATCCCAGGCACGGGTCTTGGCCACGAACTTTCCCCAGCCAGGCAGGGGCAGCTCCGCACACAGAAAACCCACAGGCAGCACTGAGCCGGATGGAAGAGCATCACGTATCAGGGAGCAGCCGTGGAAAGTCACCGAGGAATCGCTGAGATGCGGGTCAGCCGGGGGTCAGCCCGGCATTATCCACCTCACAGAAGGGGATGCTGAAGTTCACGGCCTGCCTTGTCCAGGTCACACAGCCATGAAGGGCCGGGTCGGGCCTGGAATGTGGGTTTTCTGTTTTGAATCCTGGCCCTTTCCATTACCCACCATCGCCTCACAGTGGAGGCTGGTTTCGGAGCCCCACGTGCAGGGGAGCGGTCCCTGTCGGGGTTGGGGGAGGGATGAGGGATGCCCGGGAGAGGCTTGGACTCCAGCTGGGCCCGTGCTCTCGAGTCCCCCGGCATAGCGCCATCTCCGGGGGCAGGCAGAGCAAAGCTGGGCCGGTGGGTGGAGGTTCTGAGGGCAGAATGCGATGGCCTTCTCCCCTAGGATCACCATGGCAACAGGAGCATCACAGAGGGTCTGCCACTGTGCCCTTCCAGGGCCTGCCTCAGCCGGGCAGGAGGACGGGGGACCCCGCTTGGCTGGGGGCAGTGGGCAGGGGGCCGGGGGTGGGCCAGCCAGGCCCGGATGCTGCCTCCAGGCTCTACATAGGGCACCTGCCAGCCCACATCCTTCTCTTGGGCCAAACACAGAACAAACAGGGCAGAAGCCAAGGAAGACCAGGAGGGGCACAGCTGGACGGGGAGGGGAGGGGTCCGCCAGCCTGAGGCCCGGAAGCAAGACAGACACCTCTGCCCTCAGCCCTGCAGGGCGCCAGAGGCTCAACAGTCCAAGAGATGGACACATAAGCTGTGGCCCCTGCGGAAGGACCAGGGACCGGAAGAGGCAGGGGGAGCTGGGACACGCCTGCCCAGGCCCGGCTGCACCACGCCCAGCCCTATCCATGCCAGCGGAATAGCATGGAATAGCCAGAGCCGGGCTCCAGGTAAGGGCGTTCCCCACCCTGAGGACGCTGAGCTCCGAGCCACCCTGTCCCCATGGACTCTGCCCCCTGAGGCCCACCAGGTGAGGCACAGGCCCTCCACATCCCCTCCCCCCCACCCCTCCAGCGGGAACTGGGGCCGGTGGGCAGGTGAGGAGGAGGAGGAGGAGGAGGAGGAGGAGGGGAAGGAAGAGGAGGAGGAGGAGGAGGAGGAGGAGGGGAAGCATCCTGGGTCAGGCTTCTGGGTGGGAGGAGACCTGGAAGCTGTCCCGCATTCACTACAAGCCGTGGCCTCGGGTTTCCTCATCCGTCAAATGGGCATGTCAAGGGTTTGCCGGCTCCGGGAGGATGTCCATGGCTTCTCACCCAGCTGCTCACTTTGCAGACAAAGAAACTCAGGCCTAAAGAGAGAAGGCGGCTCGCCTGGAGTCCCCCAGACTCCACTCGGAGCTGGGAGGGGGAGGAGGTCGCTGGCCGAGTCTGAGCAGGGTGTCTCTTTACTGTTCCAGAACGTTCCTGTGGTTTTAGTTCCACCAGCACGTGCCAAATCAGCTGTGCTCAGCGCTGCGGTGGGCCTTTCTCCCCCGTGCTGCCTCCTGCACGCCCCCCGCGGGGACCATGCCCCAAACCTGGGCCTGTGCCCTGACTGGGAATCAAACCGTGACCTCTTGGTTCCTGGGTCGTCGCTCAACCACTGAGCCACACCAGCCGGGCAAAAGTTTTAATTTTGACGAAGTCCAGTCTTTCGAATTTTTTTCTTCTGTTGCTTGTGTTTTGGTGTCATATCTAAGAAATGATCCCCAAATCCAAGCTTACGGTTTCTTTTTAAAACCTTTATGGCTTTAGCTCTTACTTTTAGGTCTGACCTATTTTGAGTTGAATTTTCTATATGGTGTGAGGTGCCGGTCCAACTCCATTCCTCCATGTACAGAGATCCAGTTGTCCGGCACCATTTGTTGAAAAGACTGTTCCTCGCCCATTGAACGGAGTTAGCGCTCCTGTTGGAAATGGATGGGCAGTCGATGTGGGGTTTCCCGGTGTCTCTGGACGCTCAGCTCTGTTCCGTTGCCCTGTGTGTCTGTCTTCACGTCCTCATTGCTTGATTCAGTTTGCTAAGGTTGCATTTAGAACTTTCGCATCTAGAATTAGGGATACTGGCTTATACTTTTCCATTCTCATCCATCCTCCTTGTTGAGTTTCTCTTTTTCTTTTTTAATTTGATCAAAGTAATGCCGTGTATATAATTTCAAAAGCCGACGGTCACGAAGGGGTTTATAATGAAACACGGCCGTTTCCGGCTCGGCCATGCCTTCCCCTCCAGCCCCTTCAGGCTGTGCCTCCTGGGGTTTACCCATCTCCATTACCCCCAAGTCACAGGAATATACGGACCACCTTTTATTACTCATTTAATCTATTGTCTTCCTATTTGGTAGAGGAGGGTTTCGTTATCTGATACCACTGTGGGTTAAAACATTAAGGACTAAGGAAATATTTGACCTTCACATTTTTATGCCAACTCAAATGCTACCCATGGCTGAGCACTTTAGATTAAACGATAAGATTATATTTTACTAGAGGCCTGGTGCATGAAATTCTTGCACCTGGAGGGGTCCCTCAGCCCAGCCTGCACCCTCTCACAGTCTGGGAGCCCTGGGGGGATGTCCCAGGGGGGAGCGGGCCTAAGCCGTCAGTCGGACATCTTTAGCACTGCCTCCGAGGCGGGAGAGGCTCCTGCCACCGCCGCTGTGCTCGCCAGCCATGAGCCCAGCTTCTGGCTGAGTGGCACTCCCCCTGTGGGAATGCACTGACCACTAGAGGGCAGCTCCTGCGTTAAGTGTCTGCCCCCGGTGGTCAGTGCATGTCATAGCAACTGGTCGACCAGTTGACCGTCTGCCCCCACCCCCACCCCCGTCAGTGCATGTTATAGGAAGCAGTTGAGCGGCCTTAGCATATCATTAGGATATTATGCTTTGATTGGTTGAATGGACGGACAACCGGACACTTAGCATATTGGACTTTTATTATATAGGATACTTTTGGCTTTCCCCAAAATTAGTAATTGTCTTGTTTTTGGATTTGTTTGTGTGTTGTACCTACTTACTGTTGGTTCTTCCCACACCTTCCAGTACCTTCAATCCCATCAGTGACTCCATTAGCGCCAACGACTGTCCGTGGAGACGTCACTTCCCATGACCATCATGGTTCTCTAACGGGCTGGTTGCTCTCTGGGCTGCCCACCACCTTCTTCCTGGGACTGTGCTCTTGTCCTGGGAATAGTCTTTCTCATTGTCCTGGGTTGGGTCCCTTGTTTTCCTGAACCCTCTGTCTTTCTCTCTATGGTCTACTCCTCGGTTTTGGTTGAACACACCCTGTGAGAGGGCATGCGTTCAAAGTGGCGGTGCGGCGGCAGCAGGGCTGGTGATGACTACGCTCAGCAAACCGACGTCTCCATGGTCTCTCTTTCCATGTGGACTAATCCTCATCTGTGCCTGCACAGGACCCCAAGATGCGCCTTCGCGATCACCCTGAAGGTGCCTTTCCTTTCGTCCCGTGGGGGTGGCTTTCCTGGCTCCTGACCTAGGGATTTCTTCCTTTGCTTGCTCCTCCTTTTGCTGGAGTGCCGCCTTCAGCAGTCCCTGAGCAAGAGGACGCTGAGACTGCGTTTTCTGAGACCTGCACATACGCTTGAACCACAGTGTGGGCGGCAGAGAGGTCCAGGTTGGAAAGAATTTTCCTTCAGAATTCCGAAGGCGTCGTCGACTGGCTTCTGGGGGCTGCCGAGAAGCCCAAACCTGTTCTGATTCCAGATCCTTGGCTGTGAAGGACGCTCAGCTTGTGAGACCCCCTCTTTGTCCCCAGTTTCCTAAAATTGTTCCCGGCTGTCTCTCAGTATTTTCATGGACACGTGGGCCTTTTCAATGTGAAGACCCACACCCTTCTGTTCGGGGAAATGATCTTGAATTTGACGCTTTAGTGTCTCCAATTTCTTCTGTTCTCTTTCTGGGATCCTTGTTTTTCAGATATTAAACCTCCTAAACGTGTCCTCTAATATTCTAATTCTTTACTTTTCACTTCCTTTGTTTTGTTTGTTTTGGGAGCTAGTCCCTCCATTTTTTTCTTCCAACCCTTCAGAGTTCTTACTTCTGTCATCGTGTTTCCTGAAAAATATTAATTCCCAAGAGTTCTTTTTGTTCTCTGAATATTTACTTGTTTAGAATCCTGTTCTTACTGCATGAATGCAATTCTCTCTCTTCTCTCTCTCAGGATTTCCATGATAGTTAGTGTCCTTCTCTCGACAGCGTCTCTGTTTCTTGCGAGTTGCTTTCCTTCTGCTTACTGGGTTTCTTTCGTTTCTGTCATGTCAGAGGTTCTTCTTTGTCATCTAGTAGTTTTCGTTTGTCTGCTCATCACTAAGAATGGGAGCTTAACATTCATGGGAAACTTTGAGCATGTTGCCTCAGCAAGCATGTCAAACTCGCGGCCGGTGGGCCACATGCCTCGTTTATTTAAATAAAGGAGACATGCAGCCCATTGGCCGCGAGTTTGACATGCTTGCACGGTGCTTTAGTGGGCATTTCCTGGGCAAGGCTAGTCTTGAGGTCTTTAGTTCTCTCTTCTCGGCCACAGTCCCCAGGAAAGGCTCTTCCAAGCGGCTGCCCCAGGGGTAAGGTCTGGCTGCCACCATTCTGTGCCGCGTGAGGAGGAGGGTTGGGGTGTGCAGTGCGCATGCAATCACGTCATGCCCTTGGTCGGTCACCGGCTCACAGGCTCTCTGCTTTACCAGCTCAGAGGCCAAATTTCCAACCTCATGCTAGACTTGGAAAGAAGACGTTGCTCAGTGGCACGGAGTAGGGGAGGAAATGTAGGCATTGAATTGCTTCTCAACAGCTTTGATCGAGAGCCCCGTGTTTCAGCCGCCCCTGCCGATGCTGGAGGTCTCTGTGGCTGTCAGTTACTGATGTTTTGTTCCCTTCATACATTCATAATTGAGAGGGATCTGTTGGTACCTCACATAATTATGGATTTGCCCAGTTTTTCCCTGTGGCTCTAATGATTTTTACTTTAGGCTAATGATTTTTTTAGGCTATTTTATTAGGCACATATTAATTTAGAATGGTTACGTCTTTCTGGTGAAGTTAGCTTTTATTTTGCTTGACATCACTGCACAGTGGCCACCTCTACCCTTAATAATGACTTTTGTCTTGAAGTTCAGTAAGGAATACAGGCCCACTACCCTTCTTCTGGACTGTATACGTTTTTCAAGCGTCACTTTTCTATATCCTTACACTGAGGTGTGCCGGGTGCATGTGTTTCGAAGCCATTCTCGCCATTGTAAGTGGACAGTTTAGTGGCATTAAGCACATTTCCCTTGCTGTGCAACCATAACCATAACCATCATCCATCTCCAGAACGTTTTTC